CACTCACACACACTGTCACTCACTCACACAGACACACACACACACTCACAGACACACACACTCTGTCACTCACACACACACACACACACAGACACACTCACTCACAGACACACACACTCACAGACTCACAGACACACTCACTCACAGACTCACAGACACACTCACAGACACTCACTCACAGACACACACACTCACACACACACACACACACACTCACTCACAGACACACACACACTCACTCGCACACACTCATAGACTCGCACACACTCACAGACTGGCACACACTCACAGACACACTCCCTCACACACACACACACACACACACAGACACACACACTCACAGACACACACACACACTCATTCACTCACAGACACACACACACACACAGACACACACACACTCACAGACACACACACACACTCACAGACACACTCATTCACTCACAGACACACACACACACAAGCGTGTCACTGAAAACTGACATCTGCTGGACACACAGAGCAAAGCAGGACTGAAGCAGCAGAAGTAATGAACAAGTTTCAACATGAAGGTCAGAGATTAAACTTGACATCAATCACTAAATTAAGCATTAAATATGCTGTCCTTCCATAAAAGCAATAAAGCACTTGAGTTCATACATTAACTAAAATCTTTTTTTTTTAAATGTGATACATGAAAAAAAAAGAACATTTACTGAATGAAATGAGTGCCGTCAAATGAATTATCGCGATTCATTTCATCCAAAACAAAAGTGAGTGTGTACTGTGTATATTTATTATGTATATATAAATACACACACATGCACTTATATATTTAAGAAAAATATGTTACGTTTATATATTACAAATATTTATATATGAATATAAATATATACTTGAAAATACATGTTAATATTTTCAAAAGATATGCTGTATGTGTGTATCTATTTGCATAATACACAGTACACACACATTATGCAAACAAAAACTTGATAGCTTTTGACAGCACTAACTGAAATAAAATAAGATATGACTTCAACTAGTGGTCAAGGCTCATTTTAATTGAGTTTAACGTGATCTAATAAAGTAACTGAAACTGAAATAAAAATGAATAAGAACTATATAGACACATTGAGAAAATAAAAAGGTAAAACTACAAAATGAAAAACACAACCAATAACTTTTAAATTAAAATGTAAAGGGTAAATCTAACTTGCATAATACACAGTACACACACATTATGCAAACAAAAACTTGATAGCTTTTGACAGCACTAACTGAAATAAAATAAAATATGACTTCAACTAGTGGTCAAGGCTCATTTTAATTGAGTTTAACGTGATCTAATAAAGTAACTGAAACTGAAATAAAAATGAATAAGAACTATATAGACACATTGAGAAAATAAAAAGGTAAAACTACAAAATGAAAAACACAACCAATAACTTTTAAATTAAAATGTAAAGGGTAAATCTAACAAAAACTAAATAAATAAAAAAATAGTATCTCAATTATTTAAAAACAAAATGCTGTTACACATGGCTTATTGCTTTAAAACAAGTGTTTTATAACATCAGGAGAATCAGCCAACAGAGGACTCTTATAAATACTCTTTCATTGAACAATAATCAGCCATCAACAAACAAACAAATGAAAAAGAGGGACAAAATAAAGACATCAGATAACAAATATTCACACCTTCCAATAAAAAAATAGTATCTCAATTATTTAAAAACAAAATGCTGTTACACATGGCTTATTGCTTTAAAACAAGTGTTTTATAACATCAGGAGAATCAGCCAACAGAGGACTCTTATAAATACTCTTTCATTGAACAATAATCAGCCATCAACAAACAAACAAATGAAGAAGAGGGACAAAATAAAGACATCAGATAACAAATATTCACACCTTCTCTCTGAACTTCTGAAACTCTCCATTTAACCTCGTCTGAATGAAGCGCTCGTTAAGACTTCAGGATGTGATGATACTCAGAATTAAACAAAACCGAGATGATAATAAATCTACTGCACTTAATATTGCAGCAGCACTTCAAAACACTCTTAAACCACGAGGACTTGAAATATAGATATACGCTTATACTCCGTTTGAAATACTTTCTTTAAATACAATTACAAGTCTCCAAAGTATGCTAGATGCACTGTGCAAGGCTTCATAAGCTCGTCTACAGCGGCCTGCCGTTCCTCGTTCATTACGAGATGTATCAGTAACTCGGATCATTAATCAGAGAAAATAACAGCAATTTAAATAGATTTGATTTAGATCTAAAAATATATTGCATATTCCAGCTGTAGAAACAGGGTTAATAAAATATCTAGTAATAACTAGTATCTCGTAGAAATAACTCACCCGCCGTCAAACCGTCTGTTCACTGAAAATAACAGCTTTCTACTGGTCTGACTTCATCGGAGGAGCTTCTAGACTGGATTTCAGACTCAGAATCCACTGTAATACATATATCTAAACACACTTATGTTACGGTGCTACTAAACAGCTGCGTCTCTCATGAAGAGCAGGTGAAGAAAAACTATATTAAACACTAATAATGAGATGCAACTAACCATATAACGCCGTCTAGATGAAGAAAATGAAGCTGATTTGATCCAATTAAAGCTCTGCATCTAAAAAATCGAGTTAAATTCGTAGGAAAAGACAAAAACGACGGGGAATGTAATAGTGCAATTTCTCTAGGGGCGTCGGTTCGTCAAATGAATATTAAAATATATCTGTGCATTCTAGAGACATTAATTTCATGCATATAAAACATAGATCTCCTTACAAATCAGGCGAGACACTTCAGCTGATGAATGTTTTGTCCTTTGGTTCGTTTGGTCAGATTTCAGAGAAAGAGGCTAAATGAATTCTTTACAAAAGCTCCAAGACACTTTGAGCGTGAGCTTCAATCTGACGACTGATAATCAGAGCCGAATGAAGAACATCAGCTGAGCATCACACAAACACGCCCTTAAAGAGACAGTTCACAGGGTAGAAAAATACTATGGAAGTCAATGGCTGCCGTCAAGTGTTTGTTTCCAACATTCTTCAAAGTATCTTCTTTTGTGCTTAACAGAAGCCAGACACTCTTAAGGCCCGCTCACACCACGATAACTATACACTGAAAACTAATTCATCTGAAACCAATTTCACTCAGAAATTGCTAATACATTTTACAAGTAATTACAAAGAAACAGCAAGTGACACAGTGAATTAAATGTGACATTTAGAAGTAAAAAGACTGAACGTGTATTTTCTCGTAAAGCGTGCTACAATAATCGGTTTTATTTATAACTTTGAAAAATCATTAAATAATCCAGCGGACGTTATTGTTTTGTTTATTATAAGCACGTGCTGTAGTTTTGTCGTCTGTCGCTTTAAATGCTCAAACTCTTTAAAGTCTGATGTTTTTATTGTTTATTATTTAGACGATATGTGACCCTGGAGCACAAAACCAGTCATGAGGGTCAGTTTTGTGAAACTGAGATGTATGCATCAGCTGAAAGCTGAATAATAAGCTTTTCATTGATGTATGGTTTGTTAGGATCAGACAATATTTGAAAATCTGGAATCTGAGGGTGCAAAAAAATCTAAATATTGAGAAAATCATCTTTAAAGTTGTCCAAATGAAGTTCTTAGCAATGCATATTACTAATCACACATTAAGTTTTGATATATTTACGGTAGGACATTTACTAAATATCTTCATGGAACATGATCTTTACTTAATATCCTAATGATTTTTGGCATAAAAGAGAAATCTATAATTTTGACCCAAACAATGTATTGTTGGCTATTGCTACAAATATCCCCCAGCGACTTAACACTGCTTTTGTGCTGCAGGGACACATATAGATCATCTGTGCTGTCATAGTTGTAGTTGTGTTGTAGTAGTTATTATAGTTATGGTTATATCGACATTAGTGTGAACGGACCTTTAATCTGGATCTGCGGAGATCTAGTCTTGATCTTGTGAGATATTTTCTGAAAGCATTCTGGATCCTCTGGAGCTTCTTCATCGTCTCTCAGCAGTGTGACAGTCCAGTGTGCGTGACAAAGCTTCAGCGAGGAGGAGGAGGAGGAGGAGGAAAGCTTCACTGCGGGTTCTTGAGGATGCGTCCGAAGCGGAAGTCGTAGACGTGTCTGCACAGATACACCAGCCGCGGATCCACGCCATCGGGAACCAGGCGGTGGGCGGGGCCAGCGCTGTCGGATGGGCGGGGCATCAGCGGGGCGTGGTCGGACACGCCCTCCGAGCACCGCTTCAGCAAGGCACAAAATCTGTGACATCACACGCCACCTTTATTTATATAGCGCTTTAACAACATAGATTGTAAGTTAATGCTGTTAAATAGAGAGAAAATGAAGAGTTCATTTGCAAAAACAAACATTGTGCATTCCAATTAATCTCAATCAAACTGTAGTTGGGTTATTTTGATTAGGTTCAAAAATACAGCTAACTAACACAATAAAAACATGATTACATGATAAAAAAAATCAAAATCAAAATCAATGTCAAAAAATGGAGTTATCCGTGTTTGCAAATAAACTCTTCAAATGTACATTTAAAAAAACGTGTAGGCAGTGTTGAGTAAGTTACTCTAAAAAGGTAATTAATTACTAGTTACTTTCTAAATCCTGTATCAATCTGGACGAGTTAATGATGCAAGGATAGACATGAAACGCTTCTTTTAATTCTTTCAAGGAACTACATCAGTTATTCTGCTCACTCTTTAGATTAGAGTCCAGTTCTCACTCAACATACTGCGAACTACTGCTTCCCAGGGCTCTGAACCGCTTCAAGGGACGAAAACAAAACCGGAAACGAACGATATTTGGACAGGAACAGAAAAAAAATACACTGTTATAGTTCCGATCGAAAATTTGAAATGGCCATTAACCAGTTAATAACGTTATTTTATCGTTCCATTTAATATTTGTACAAGGCAATTTTATACGAGTAGCATTTTGTTTTAACAGTGCAGCAAACATTTTTAAATCTCTTAAAAAATTTGTGGAAAAAAAAATAGTGAGAATTGGACACTAAAGTGTTACCAATATTCTTATCAACTCGCCAAAGTGTTTAAAGTGAGAAGGGTAGCTAAAAGCATGCATTTTAAAGTTAGACTTTACATTTTTATGTTAAATCCACTGCTGTATTGTATATGAATCTTCTACAGTCTGTACACAGTATTGAGTTCAATTACTTAAGAAGTAAGTGTTATTAAATGACAGAAAACATAAGAGTAATCAAGGGAAAACTACTGCTTAGTAACCAGTTAGACCCAACACGGATTCTGTCCCTTATTTTCTTATAAAGAATCACAATTGTTCTTTATTTTCCATTTCTGAAGTTAATTGGCAACCCTAATGATGACGTAGTTATATTGTGACACCCCGACAGCGGCGCCCTCATAAAAAACTAAAGCACAGCAGTTGCGTGTGTAAGACACAAGTCTGACCTGCAGTACTGTGCCAGCGGCAGAACGTAGCAGCGGTCCTCGATGCAGGCCACGCTGTTCTCATCCTGATGACGAGAGGCGAAGATCTCGTTCTGAAAGCAGACGGATTTACTCCAGCAACAGCATGATGCAGTAACAACACACGTTACTCAGATTACTCGCTCAACTAACTAAAGTAACGCATTATCTTTCAATCTAGAAGAATCAGAGTTACTTAGTTTCCGTGTGTTGAGTGACAGCTCTGGTGTTGCCATGGAGACAGAAATCAGGAGTGAGTGCAGAGTGTTGTGTGTGAACATGATCTTACTGTAGATCTAGACTAGATATCAACATGTGTTTACTCATCTCACTGCACACAAACACATTCAGTGCTCCTCACAATCAATACAAACTCACAATATGATGCAAACCTGCAATAATTCAATATGTTAAGACAAATATGATTTATGTATTTAATTCTATTTTATCAACCAGTGTCTTTCCCGCTGATTCAATTCAAGAAAACTAATAAGACTTTAGATTTACATTTCCTTCAGCCTGAGGCTCATTCACTGAATGTGAAAGGGCTTTACATTTGCCAACTTCTTATAATAAAACAAGCAGGCAAACACAGGCCAGATGAGACAATGTGACACAAAAGTAACACAACGCATAAAAAGTAACTAAGTAATGCAATTAGTTACTTTTTTAGAGTAACGGAATATTGTAATGCGTTACTTTTAAAAGTGACTCTCTCATCTCTCACTAACCCTGCGCATGAGCAGCAGTAACAAATCTTTTTTATTATTATTATTATTTATTGATATATAAAATGATTGCTCTTTTGTTAGTTTTGATTGCTTTTATTGTCATGATTTGTAAGCTGCTTTGGATAAAAGCATCTGCTGAATGACTAAATGTAATAAGAGCAGACCTCGCAGTGCATGCTGGGATCTCTGCCGCCGTGCGTGTGCTCAGGACGATAATACCAGAACAGACTCATCATCAGCTCTCCTGAAACAACACAGATCAGGCCACACAACTCAGGATCTCATTCATTCAAATTAAACACTTACGTCATTCCACCCCCAAAAAAACACTAAAAATAACACTTCATGTCATAAGATTCATGCAAAGCATGCTGGGAGCAGCACAAATTCGCTGTCTAGTTTCTGTTAACGCAACAAAAATGATTGATTGCATTTACACAAACAACAAGAGCAGGTTAAACATCGAGCAAAGAACTGCACGAAGGTGTTCATGAACACATGACAGAAACGAACACATCTGTATTTAAGAGAACGCTTCTTTTCTTTTCTTAGCGTGCAGACAAAACAAGCCATCACTTAAATGACGATTCTTCATCGTTTTCACCTGTTCTGGGGTCTTCCCACAGAGCGGAGATCTTGGCCACGTACGGCAGGGATTTCTTGCGGGGTCCGGACCGTACGAGCACCGTGTCTCGCACCCTGATCACCTCTCCTTCACGCTCCACTCCTTCATAACACTGACGGAGAACCGTCTCGTCATCGCCCTGCAGAAGCACAGCCGTCACAGCGGAGACTGACACTGCATCCACTTTACGTTTCTAGATTAGATTCTACAAACCCAATTCCAAAAAAGTTGGGACACTGTACAAATTGTGAGTAAAAAAGGAATGGAATAATTTACAAATCTCATAAACTTATATTTTATTCACAATAGAATATAGATAACATATCAAATGTTGAAAGTGAGACATTTTGAAATGTCATGCCAAATATTGGCTCATTTTGGATTTCATGAGAGCTACACATTCCAAAAAAGTTGGGACAGGTGTCGTTGTGCAGAGTTCAGAGCCAATGAAAGGCAGTTAGCATCTAACCAGAAGTGCACTTAAAGTATATAAATATAAAATGTGTAGAAGGGCAGAGACCAGCTAAATGCAAATGACTAAAT